TGGCAGAAAACAATCTGCCATAAATGACATTTTTTCTGCGATGGACATTTCGCATCGAGCACTGCACCACAAGTCCTACCAGAGACTGCAAAGGAAGTACAGCCACCCTGCCACCACATCAGCTGCCACCCGCATTGAAGCAGAAAGTGAACAGAAGGTGCATGACATTTACAAGGACCTAGGAGGAGTGCCAGGCAACATTGACGTCATTTACGACGGCACGTGGATGACGAGGGGGCACAGAAGTCATATTGGCGTGGGCTGTGTAATCGAGCTGTACACAGGCTTGGTCTTGGACCACTGTGTCCTGTCCAACTACTGCCAAGGCTGTGCTGTTGGCCCCAAGCCTGGTGACGACAACTATGAGGAGTGGCTTGAGAAACACAAGCCACAGTGCCAAAAGAACACCGATGCTAATGCAGGCCAAATGGAAGTAGAAGCAGCGAGGATCATGTTTGAAAGATCGTTTACCAAGTACAAGCTTCGATACATCAATGTGCTCTGCGACGGTGACAGCCGTACGTACCTTGCCCTCACGCAAGACAAGGTGTATGGCTACATGGTGATTAAGAAACAGGAGTGTGTGAACCATGTGAAAAAAAGAATGGGCACTTCCTTGCGCAACCTTCTTGATGAGCACAAATCCAAAGGCCGAGGACTGAGCATGGGTGGCAAAGGCCGGCTGACGCAGGGCCTGATAAAGAAGTTGACGAATTATTATGGCTGGGCCATTAAGAGCCACCCCAACGATGTTCCTGGCATGGAGAGGGCCATCATGGCCACTTATTACCATGTAACATCCACAGACCAGGATCCACACCACAACCTGTGCCCAAGTGGGACTGACTCCTGGTGCCCGCACAATCAGGCATTGGCCAAGGGAGAGCCGCTGCCGCCTCACAAACATAAACTGCCCCCTCACGTGCGAGTGGCACTGCTGCCAATCTACAAGCGCCTCTCGAACAAAGAGCTCCTTGAAAGGTGTGCGCAGGGAAAAACCCAGAATGCTGTGGAGAGTATGAACAGCCTCATTTGGTCACTCCAGTCCAAGAGCCAGTTCGCCTCCCTTCGAAGTGTGGAAAGTGCAGTTGCAGATGCAGTCTGCCGTTTCAATGGTGGCTGCAAGAGTGCGCTGCAAGAGATCACTGCTCAACTGGGCTTCAATCCAGGAGACTGCTCTTTGCGGCGAGCAGCCGAAAAGATGCCAAAAGGGTAAAGAGGGCTCAAAAAGCGCATTGTTCCACGACAAAGAAGCGCAAAACTGGGTTGCGCTCTACAGAGGCCAAGGCCACAGCATCTCAGGATTACTGCCCAGGAGGATTCTGAGTGTTTTAGCCATGTTGTGAACTTCCAAACAAGAGTGAACTTTCAAAGTCAGTTTTCTCAACTCTTGATTTTCGCCTATGTGCCTTCGCTAGAACATCTGTCATTTTCTAACAAAGACTGATAGAGTCGTTCCGTTTTTTGCACTAGGCTCAGGAGGCCTTTAGCAGTGCAATAAAGCTTTATCTCTCTTCTTACTCATCATTTAAAATTTTTAGAACACATTTTATAATTACTGCGATGTGTGCGCAAAACAACATCCATGTTTTGGAAATTTTATTTATGGTTACAACTAGAAAAATCAACTAATAGCTTCTTTGCACAAGTTGATGCTTTGGGAACATAATAATATGAAAAAATAATTTCATTTAGCAATAATTATCTCTTTAAGTGTGAAGAGCATTAATTAGTATAATTATGCTTGTAACTCAAAAACTACAAGACGTATTTGAAAACGGTTTTCATATTTGGAATCCTCACAATCATCCACATACACACACCAAATTTCATCACAAACAGTACATTAATAAAAAAATTAGTTTTACTTGCCACGTCCCCCCTTAAATGCGGCAAAGTTCGGCCTGAACCGGAAGGCCGTGAAAGATGGCAAATATGCTGCCATGGAGACTGCCCTAGTTGAGTGGTTGCGTCATGCCCGCAGTTCAGGAATTGCCGTGGATGGCGCAATTTTGAAGGAGAAGGCGGAGACAGTTGCATTGCACTGCGGCATTGATGACTTTAAAGCCTCCAATGGCTGGTTGGATCGCTTTAAAAAATGCAGTGGAGTTGTATACAGCCGCTGCTGTGGAGAGAGCTTGTCCGTCAGCTTCGACACTGTCGAAAAGTGGACTGCATTGCTGCCGGAATCGATACGGCAATACAAGCCGTCCGAAGTGTTCAACGGGGACGAAACTGGATTATTTCACAATATGCAGCCAGAGCAGACATTAACATTATAAGAAGAGAGCTGTCACGGGGGTAAGCGAAGCAAAGAGCTATGTTTTCAACATATCTGCAGCAGCTGGACTCAAAAATGGAGGCTAAAAACAGAAAAGATTCTTCGTCTGCTTGACAATGCGCCATGCCATCCATTAGATACGTCGCATTTGATAAATGTGAAAGTTACATTGCTGCCCCCCCAACTGCACTAGCCAGCTGCAGCCACCTGACGCCTGCGTTATCAAGTGCATGAAGCAGAAATATCGGAAGTTTCTGGTGCAGCGTCGGCTGGCGGGCACGGAACGCAAGCAGTTGGATAAGAAGCTTTCTGTGCTTGATGCAATGCACTACATTGCTAGTGCATGGGACACAATCACGCCAGAAACCATTGTCAACTGCTTCAGGCAGTGCGGCTTTAATAGAAGTGGTGCTTGTTCTACCAGTGAAGCTGCAGTGCCTGTTGACGACGAACCAGAGTTCGGCAACCTGGAGCTGCCTGGATCCTTCGCGGACTATGTTGGTGCCGACGACGACGTTGCAGTGTGCAGTGCAGTGTCGCTGGATGACATTATCGAAACTGTGCGTCCTGACACTGCGGGAACTTCCAACGAGGAAGAGATGAATGACATTGCAGAGGCTAGTGCGTCCGTTCCGACAAACGCGGACGTGTTGTGCTACGTCGACAACATTCGGCGGTTTGCTTGCGCACGCGACGAGATCGGCGACTTGCTGCCAGATGTCGCAGCTCCCGAAAGAAAGCTGATGCATCGTGGCTGGGCAAACTCGCAGAAAAAAAATCAGAGATCTTTTTAAAAGGTGAGAATAAAGATTTGTTCACACCTCCGATAAAATGCGTGGTTGCTATTTTTTCAAGCAATTTAATCTACCTTCATCGGAGCAGCGTAGATTTGTGCCCGAACTGCGAGTTTACTCTCGTGACAAACGGGGCATGCCGCGCCTGCGACGACGGCCGTCAATGCACCCAACTCGCACAGCACTACGCTTTCGGCACGATCGGCATTCGGCCTGACGTCGTTTTCGAATAACGCGATCTTTTTCTGCGATGCACTCACAAAATTCACTGCAGCGTTGATCTCGTCGTCGCAGTTGCCATGGTCGACGTTGCCGTGGTCGATGTTAGGCCTACCGGCCGCTGGCCCGTCGCGGACATTTTCGTTGGCGGTGGCTTTCTTGTACGTCCTCCGCCGCTTCCCTCTGAACTTGTTCTTACTTCTGTATTTCCGATGGTCGGCAACGGCCTTTTTCGGGCTTGCCATCGCACGAAAACAGCGAAAAATAACTCCGGAAAACAGTGAAGCGAACTACGGCAAGAAAACACGGGTGCTGTCAGCCAATGGCGGCCCTGCGTTAGTGGCGCGCGGTTTGAAACGGCGGGAAAAGACTGTTTTTGTTGCTTTTTTTTTAGATTTTTCGTGAACGTACGAGACTTCAAGAACCGGGATCGTGGAGAGTAAGGACAACTCTACACGAGCCAGCGGCCGCAATATGGCGGACAGCTCTCTTCGCGGCCCCGCGAGCACGCGAACAGCAGCCCGTTTTGTGTAAATTTCGTGATGCCGCGCGTCACTGCCGCTCACTCAGACGCGTTTTTCACTGACTTCTGATGCTTATTTCGCTGTGATATTTTCAGATGTCAAAATATAATGTATAAAGATGATAAAGCAACAAAAAACAGAAAAGGTGAAATTTGGAAAAAAAACGCGACTTTTCGACCCGCGTCTCCCCTTAATAGAAGTGGTGCTTGTTCTACCAGTGAAGCTGCAGTGCCTGTTGACGACAAACCAGAGTTCGGCAACCTGGAGCTGCCTGGATACTTAGCGGACTATGTTGGTGCCGACGACGAGGTTTGCAGTGCAGTGCCGCTGGATGACATTATCGAAACTGTGTGTCCTGACACTGCGAGAACTTCCGACGAGGAAGAGATGGATGACACTGCTGAAGCTAGTGCGTCCGTTCCGACGTACGTGGACGTGTTGTGCTACGTCAACAACATTCGGCGGTTTGCTTGCGCACGCGACGAGATCGGCGACTTGCTGCCAGATGTCGCAGCTCTAGAAAGAAAGCTGATGCATCGTGGCTGGGCAAACTCGCAGAAAGAAATCACAGATTTTTTTTAAGGGTGAGAATAAATATTTGTTCCCACCTCCGATAAAATGCGTGGTTGTCATTTTTTTAAGTAATTTAATCTACCTTCATCGGAGCAGCGTAGATTTGTGCCGCGGACTTTCTTACGCATTATGTGACAACTGTTGTGGGGCAACAACGACCATCAGTGCCTATATTCTTGGTTTTTCGATTATACGACGATTTTGCGTGGTGCCCTGAAAGTCGTATAATCGAAGTTCCACTGTAATTGCTATCGCGATATTATTGCGCTTTTTTACTGTAAAATAATTGTTTTTGGTTAGCTCTGCCTTTAGTCTCCCTATTGTTTAATTTGCGATTTTATTTTCCAAATTTTCGTACCGAACCTGCATATAACGAAATCTTTTTTATAACGAATTTTTCTGGGGATATACAAATTTCGTTATATCCAGGTTTAACTGTATATGGTTGGTTTTGAGCGTGCAGTGATGGTTTTGGGAGGTACTTCATCGCTATGGTGTAACTCTTCATTTTGCTAGACACTGTACAATGACTACGCCAGGGTGAGGGATAACAGCCACATTACAAGCCAACCGGGGAGCTGCACAGAGCCCCGGAGACAGATGGCTCACCCCTGACTTGCTGCTCCAGGCTGGTGATGACCTCCACTGCCTGGTGTAGGATGTTCAGCTTTGTCTGGGCCTTGTCTGTCTTCAGGTGCATCATGCACATTCGGCCCAGCTCCTTGAACGCCTCGTTTATGTCCCTTACACGTATCCTGCAACACAGGGGAACATGCACGGTCAGTGCAACACTAGTCTTGTTCACCGGCACTGGTTCATAAATATGATGCAAAGCACAGTATCTCGAAACTTGAGAGAGGGCCAAGGCGATGTGGATGGAAACGTACAGTAGGCTCCGTTTAAATGAAACCTGAAGGGACCAGAAAAATATGTTTTTTTTAAGAGGAGTGTCGTTTATCGAGAGATAAACAGGGGTACAATATTCAAGTACAAAACCAAACATATTAGGGGCAGTTGTTCCATTTAAGCAGCAATTTCATTTAAGAGAGTTTCGTTTAATAGGATTCTACTGTACGTGCGAGCGTTGACCAATCATGTGCATCAAAAATGTTTGTTAATTTAGAGAATGTGCACAAGACAGCGGCTCATCACCCTATGTGAAAACGAAAAGGTTGCTTACAAACAGAGACATACATTTAAGGGAGGAGATCCCACTTTAAAAAATGTTTTTTTTTTTTAACTTATGGGTGAATTTTGATCAAACTTCCATTGTTTACGTATTTCAACGTGCTGACTTCAAATGTGTGATTACTTTTTCTCTGCAACAAGCACTTTCTCAAAATATTGAGAATTCATGTTTTTCGCACTGGCTAATTTTGAGGCAAGTTTTCTTTTGAATGCTTGTAGTGAACAAGGAAAGTGGCACAGGAAAACGATGTTTTATGGTCAGAACTTGCAATGCTAAAAGAATGAACACTCTACACTGATTTGGGTTAACGTTACAGCATGTCAAACTTTTGCAGAGTTCGCACACTATATTCGGCTAAAAATTCAAGGGCTTTTCAAGAATTTCAAGGCTGAAAACATGAAAAATTCATGAAGTGTTCGCCTCACAAATTCTATCGTCTATCAAGGTGAAAAAGCTCTCTGTGCCAGCACCGCTGCCATTCAAAGAGAAGGATGCGCATTAAAGTGCCTGTATGGCAATGATACTAATCCACTGGCAAGGCCCAAGATGTCGGTTGGTGTTGGAGAAACCCGCTCACCTTTCCCGCGCATTGTTCGCCTGTCTCCTCTCCTTTTCTCGCTCTGCCTTAACTTCTGGGGGCTCGTCCTCGTCTCCAGAGCTGCACAAATCACCAGAAAGAAGAGCTCGGCAAAAGAGGAAACAAGAGTGGCTTGCACAGCTTCATGCACAAACCAACAATTGATCGAATGACTGCTTCCTGAAATTTAACATCTCAAGTAACATGATCATGAACAAGAGACGTTAACTAAGCCTTATGTTCAACTCGAACTACATTGATAAAATAGCCCAATTTTTATTCGCAAAAATGATATGAAACATTTCCGCTGTACTTGAGCATGCGATTTCAAGCATACTGTTACGCAGACTACTTATTCTAACTGGAAATTAAGCGAAAGAAGAAAAAGAAAGGTGCTTGATCTTCGTCAAATATGGTACAGGCAACTTACCCGGTAAACGCATCGCCATGCCCACTGTTGCTATTGTTTCCAGGCACTGGTTGCCAGCGGCTCCTACGGACAAAATAATAACAACACTTACTAAGTATGGTGCGAATCTGATGCAGGGACATGAAAGAGAAAGTCAACCATAAATGCATTCATTAAAATACAACAGCCTGCTGTAGTATTTCAAAAGCTGCAGTGACTGCAAAAATGAAGGAATTCTTACACTACCCTCTTATATGAGGTGCATAGAAGGTTACCAAGTGAGAATGCACGCTACATGTAACACTAAGCAGTTTCAACCATCTAAATGCAAGACTGCAATAACTACAGTGCTGCTACCACTATAGACACACGAAGTGAATGCATTAGATTATTCTAAAAGGCGAATTGTAAAGAAAGCCTGAACATACCAAAATATGCTATTTATCATGTTCGTTGAATCACAAACATATAATGCCATTATGAGCTTTAGCTGATACACTTCTATCAGTGCTCATTAGAAACCCTCAGAGGCAGTTTCAAGAGTTCCACTATCATAAAAGTGAAGAAGATTTAAAGCGATTCGTCACTTGCTAGTTGTGATGCAAATAATTACTAGAGAAAAGGTTTGCACACACATGAACCGGGCTTTTCTAAATTGTAACACGGCCCCAAAACGTGCAGCTCTTGAACCCAGCAACATACGACAAGACTAGCTCTATTTTGTCTCTCATGAATTCGTTTCTTCGGACGGTGCTGCTCTGCCCTAATGTTTCCGTAACGTCCGTACTCTAGCTCACTTCTATCTTGACACGAAGCCTGAATCCGAAGTGGCCGTCTCTAACGACTGCCTCGGCTTCACAGACGCAGGGAGATTGCACAAAACTGACCGAGACCTCTTGCTGGACTTTCCTCCCCCAGAGGAAGACGTGGCAGTCGGGGTGGTCAGGCTGGCGCCCAGGGGACCCGGGGAGTTCGGGGGGCTGATCTTGGTGTGCTCCAGTTTGTCTGTCTCCTTGCATTTCTCCACCTTGATGCCCGGGCTGCTCTCCACTGCACGGATTTATACAAAAGTAGGACAGCGGACTTTGTTACTGCAAAGCGATAATTGAGCTGTTGACGACAATGCACTACTGGGGGAAAATGCATTAATTTCAAACTCCTAAAACTTAGAACGCACCGCTCGAACTCAAGTAAACCGGTGCTCCAACATTCTAACTGTGCAATGCCGCATCCCATTAGGCTATGCTGGACAGCATTCAGTATCATTCAAGAAAATCTTTGCACTGGTATGCTACGACTGCACAACAATTAACACATGCTATGTTACATTCCATACTTCTACGAATCCTTTAGTTCCAGAAACACACTGATGAATAAGACGGCTTGTTGTCAAGAGCACCAAGCACTTACTGTAATGAGCTGGGTTCTGGCTGCCGGGAGTCGTTAGAGACGTCCTGCTTCTCATGGAACTGTCGGAGAGGGCGGGCGGGCTTGCCTGCAGAGCGAAAATGAGCAATGAATGCACGCACAATAGCATATTTCCATGTGATCGTGACATTGAGGACGGCAGCAGTAATTCACTTTGCTGATCTAATGGTTTTTCCAATAAACTTGCTGGAGAAGAGCACTATCGTCAATAAACATTCATGGCTTCACCACATTTTCCCTCAGCACTTTTCCACAAAAAGCTTTAGCTTTAACGGAATACAAAAGAAAATTTGCGAAATCATTGAAGCAAGCTGAATCAGCAGAAAATATGGAAGAGTGGACTGTACACGCAAACAGCTGTCCACAAAAGAAAAAAGAATAATTTGCAGGAAGTTTGCACAAAGCCAGGTGAAGCTTCGCATGGTGAAGCTGGTCAATCCTGAAGCCTTCTGGCTAACACCGGTTACTTTCTTTTGATTTTCTGTTGCAACAGCAATCATGTGGACCGTCTTGACGGGTTTTCGCCGTCATCAGTTGCCGTCATGTCACATACAAATTCTAAATTGATAAGAACCCTCAGTGCATCATATGTTCTACCTGCAGGTAATAGCGCGGGAGCACGAGTTGATTAACACGGCTGACGAGCCGGCCAGCCGGCCCATCTCCGTCGCTCATTTCTTTGGCACACACCAGCTCATGATTATGATAGTTTTCGTGGTCGTCCATTTTATTTCACGCTTTAACAGCTTCACCGCCAAAATAGAGGGCAAGGAATGGATGCTCACTCCGTGTGCGTCAAGGGTGGGCATGCCAGGCGAGAAGGGGTGTCCCGCCGTTAAGGAGGCCAGCAGTCCATTGGAGTGGGCACCAGGCGTGAGCCCCAGTGTGGGCCCCAGGTTGGGACCGACAGAGGCACCCTCGGCGTGATTCCGCAAGACGCTCAGTGCATCGTCCAGATGCTCCTCTATAACCCCTCGCGTTTGCTGCAAACCAAGCAATCACACACATCAGCGATGAACTAAAGAAAGTACATCAACAAGAAGCACACTGAACCAGACATACGAGACACTAAAAGATGACACAGCTTATTTGCGTGACAGTAGATGAGGGGAGCAAATGCTTTGCAATTCTGGCATTTCAGAATTCGAAATCCTGAACTGGCCACGAAGGCAAGCCACAGTGAGAGACTTGGGATTAATTTTCACAAACTTTGGTTTCTTAATGTGAATCTAAATCTTGTTACTAGGGTATTCCTTATCGAAAGGAAGTTGCTTTGACTGGGGTCAAATTGCCACCTCTAGCTTGACAGTGAGACGTAGTCACCAAGCTAGTGCAGTGGAGCTGCAGCTACTCGACGTTACTGTGACTAACAGCCGCTGCTGCTTGTGTCAAAGTCATGACAATTATTTTGATTATTGTACATTATCACTGAATCTTCATTTTTGCCTCCACTCACAGCAATACTAAAAGACAACGTAGAATGAAAAGCATCAGTGTTTAACTAACCAATGCATGAGTGTTAGTTGAAGCCAATTCACAAGAAATAAAACAAGAAGAAGACATTGTGATACAGACACAGAAGGAAATACAGCGTTTTGACATGGAGCAACAAATCCACCAGAACACATAAAGCAGTACAAAGCATGTGTAAGCAATCAGCACTGTACAACAATATAAGCATGCAGCGTACTCTGCCGTTTGATAACAACGCAGTCACACCACCCGAATTACTTCCGACACTGAAACCACTCACGATGCCACTGTGATTGGCACAAACTTGACAACGATCAATTCGCAATGTCAAGGAAATCCAAATTGTGTCACTCGTAGATCAAACTAAATCGATTGATTGATATGTGGGGTTTAACGTCCCAAAACCACTATATGATTATGAGAGACGCCGTAGTGGAGGGCTCCGGAAATTTAGACCACCTGGGGTTCTTTAACGTGCACTCAAATCTGAGCACACAAGCCTACAACATCTCCGCCTCCATCGGAAATGCAGCCGCCGCAGCCGGGATTCGAACCCGCGCCCTGCGGGTCAGCAGCCGAGTACCTTAGCCACTAGACCACCGCGGCGGGGTATCAAACTAAATCTGAAAGCTACAATTAGTGGCAGTAAATGTGGTGGGAATTTCTTTGTTGCATTTTCATGGGTTGTGTGTGTGCACCTGATTATTACCTCATCTGGCTTGCCTGCACACCTAAAAGACTATTGGCCCTAGCATGTGTTCCTTGTTATGTTCGTGCCAATAAATACGCTCTACACCTTTCAATAAATGTTATGTTTATCCAACTACATTGATACTTTACTGGTCCAGCGTCGCTATGTGCACGCACGCCATGGCTATGCTACAGTCCTCGTGCTTGATAGCATTCTGGTTGGTAAGATGAAAAGACAAACTTTGCCAAGGACTCAAAAGATGATTCATACCAGCAATGTACAAAAATCAGCAATATCCAAGACAATCTCATACGCTTTAGAAGCAAGTTGAACCGAAGAATCAATTACTTTTAAGAAAAAAGCTCTCATTATCACTTGTACTAATGAAACATCTGGTAAACGTCCTACAATGTCATGATGTTCATGTCATGAAGCGCTGCTTACAAGAAATGTGAATAGAGTATGTCACGCACAAATAGCAGGCCACTCGTTTACTAATATGAGACAGTTCAGAGTGTCTGAGCTCCAGTCTCTTCGGGGGAGAGAGAGAAAAAAAAACAAAACATCCATTTATCAGTGTTATGTGTACAACTCCACACTACAAATCTTCTCACATTTTCATGCCACCACAGCAACTGAGATGAACATTACTGCGATTTAAAGTGATATTTTACAATAAATTAATAATAAATACAATAAAGCAAAAATTTTACATATGCACCTGAACAAGATACAGCAATGAAAAAGATAGCAGTGGCTTCCCACTGCAAACTTTCACGACTGAAAACTTTGTTTCTGGAAGCAGTGAAAAACTGAACCTATTGTTAGTCAGGCGCCCAAATTTACATTCATAACAGCGTGAAGTAACACTTCATCTATATGTGCTCATCAAGCTCTACTAGATGGCACACTGAAGGTTAATTACACACTCAAGATCAGTATCCAGGATCAGGCAAAAAATACTGCTACGTTTAACTAAAGTCGGCAAAGACGCAATAAGGTTGCTAGTAGCATGCTAATCTAATCTTTTAGGAGGGGGAGGAATACACTACAGTCGGATACAGCTTAAGATGACCGCAAAAGTCTCGCTCAGATGACCGCATCGTGGAAGCCGATCACTTCTGTGGCTAAAAAAAAGCAGTCCCACTCATGCACTATGCATGAGTGGGACTCCACTCCACTTTGGTGTTCTGCAAAGGCCGCCCGCTTATGATGTCGGTGTAGAGGGCACCTCCATAGCGCAGGCCTGTGCGCATCCATCTTTGAGGGGGGGAATGCCACGTTATTCTAAAGTTGCAATGAACAATACATTTTTTCATGGGGGGAAAAAGTAATCACTGCCATGCTAGACTGCGCACGGGAGTACAAAGGCTGAAGTCACAACCTCGACTGTATTTTGCAGGACTCGTGCATGGCATGACATGCAGATTTTAGAGTTTAGTTTATTTTACCACATACTCCACATTACGTAACATAATCTATACATTCATGGCATTGACCGCTATGCGGCGGCGATAGAATATGCGAAAGCATGGACAACTTCGACAGGAAACTGACCATAACTGCAACTCGTCAACACAATCTGGCAACAAAGCGTGTTCACGGACACCACAACACAGGGACAATGAATGCGAACTCAACGGACGCCACGGGACGACGCGGACATGCGGTTAGTTACCTCCACAGCGTCTCCCAAAAAATGAAAGTCATCATCACAAGCGTCGGCAGCCAGAGCCGTAGAATGGTGCTACGTCAGGAGGGTCAAGAGAACAGCAGTCAGGTCGTGCACGTGTTACGAAATCTTTGCAACCAACGATAAAGAGACCAAAAGACCGCACTTCTTTAGAGGCTGAAAACAACAGGAAGTACCCGCATTCACGGCAGAGTAGTGCGAAAAGAGAATGCGCGGTGCACCCACCATCATCATCAGCCTGACTACACTTACTACAGGACAGAGGCTTCTCCCACGTTCCACCGATCAACCTGGTCCCGTGCTTGCTGCTGTCGCGTCATGCCCGCAAGCATCTACCAACCCAACTTTCTGTTTCATCCTCTCGTGTTTGTCTTTTATTGGAAACTATCACTCTTGATGACCAGCGGTTATCTTGCCAACGCGCTATATGCTTTGCCCTTGCCCATTTCTTCTTGATTTCGGCTATGATGTCCTTACGACCTCTTTGTTCCCTGACCCACTCTGTTCTCTTCCTGTCCCTTAAAGTTACACCAATCATTTTCCTTTCCATTGGTCGTGCTGTCCTGTCGTCTTTGCTAGTGTGTACTTATGTGATAGTTTCAGTGGTTTTTTTGTTTCCATCAATATCTGTAACGAGTTCGAAATCAGCACTGCACAGTTATTTTATGATGTCTTTATTATCATTTTAATCCCACTGATTGCTACCTCAGAAAACTGCCCACGACACTTTTACTTTTTGGATGAGCTTCAAGAAAGTAGGCATATCTTGCATTCGGAGCTCTCAATAATTTTTGTTACATCCAGAATCGTCTGTATTTTCTAAGCATGAAACAATAACAGAATAAAAAAAAGAAAAACAAACAGACAGAGCAAACACGGGAATGCACAAAAGTGTTTGAGAATAAGCTCAAACTGGTCCGTTAACAACTACAACTGTCAACCACTTACCAGCTGGTGCATTGTAGCTTCCTGGAAACTAGACGGAGGTTGGCTTTGCTGCGCATTATTCCTCGACCACTGAGTTACCGCTGCAAGTGAGAACAAGGGCAGGCAGACGTCACTACATATTACAAAGGTGCAAGGCTCTGGCCTCCTTCCACTTTTTACCGTGAGGACACACGAAACCACCAATAGTCTTGTTAAAATTTGTTGGACTACTAGTTGGTAACTCGCCATGTTGAAAGTAGATCCTGCACAACTTGGAAATACCTTGAAACGTTCACACATTAAAACACTCTTCCACTCAAAATTTGGTAAGTGTAATAGGTGCTTTTTGAGTGGAATAGTGTGCGAATGTGCGAGTGTTTCAAGAGATTTTCCAAGTCGAGCTAGAGTTACCAACAATATATCACTGTTACGTACCCGCAAAGTTCCACAGATTTACAATGAGGGCAGTGCATACTGGCAAATGGCTAAGAGTCGAAACAAGGCGGGAAACAAATGACCTGCAAGGCAGTTGCACACACTCAGGTAGCCTCCAATCTGTGAAATAAACTACCCAAAATTAGGCAGAGCTACAACTAATTTAAAGGGACACTGAACTGAAACAGCAATTTCTTTTTTTAGATTGATTAGGTGCTTTCAGGCAACTCTAATGTTTTTAGTCTTACCATCATCAGTTCATTTTTAGAAGAGAATATTAAGCTCAAAGTACCATTTTCGAACTTCAGCAGAAATCTATACACGCGATGTCACAAATTTCGAAGTGTCCTCATCGTCTTTTGCTGGCATTGGCGCAATGAAAGTTCCCGAAACTTGGTATCTTGTGTCTCTGGCCCCATCAGCAGACACAGTGCTTTGTTTTTATCTGTTGGAAGCTATGCAGGTCTTAGTAAACACTGTCAAAACTTATGACTTCACGTTCGGAGCAGGAAATTCAAGGTGGCATCACCGCCTCCATTTCATTTTCTTTTTTGTGCATTTTCTCACTGACCGAGAATCTTCTCGTGGTGAATGCGGTGGTTTACGAATTGTGAAAGGGTAATTTAATGGTTGCAAATATTGTTCTTTTGAGTTCCCTTAATGTCACAAAGCAGAGTTGGTGCAATTCCTTTGCTTTCACCAAAGCAGGTCATGGAAACTCGGTGCTAGTTCCGATTTCAAGGAACATGGTTGCTCGTAGCGGTTGCCGGGCGTCCTAAGATCCCGTTGAACAGAGTGAGTTTGATGTGAATGTTTGCATTTAATGGCTTTCACAAGTTCTTGCAAACAAAAAAATTTGATATTCCTCTGAGGAACTTCTCTTTTTGTTTACATGTGTTTTTCTTAATCCTTAATTTGTTAATTTTAAATCAGGCAAAGCGAGGGAAGCGACTGACTTGAGTTTGCAGCCCTTGCCTCCTCTCCTTCTTGCCCCCTCACTCAGCGATATTAGAAGTTAGATCACACTCAGTTATCTCACTCAGTTGGCGTGCGTGCCAACTACGGGAAAGATAAAGGCAGCAAGTGGTGGCAGGCACAGAAGAGAAGCCGCAGTGAGCGACGCCGAACAAGTGAACCCCGCATTTGTCGAAGATGGCTTGCTCGGGCAACACAAGCTTTCCACGGCTCTGCGGTGTGCTAACACGGTGATACCTAGTTCTGTGAAGGTTTCTCAGCATTTTCTAAAGATAACGGATGAGCACAAGAACCTTGACCCATTATTTGAGCAGGTATTGATTTTGCACGACGACATGAGTAAACCAAGTTCTCTGCAAGTCTGACTGGACTGACATAAGTGCGGTGTCGCTTGTTTGATTGGTGAAGACGGCAGCCAAGCTCCTATTGGGAAAATGCCTTTATTGAAAGGCTTGAATTCAAGTTGGCTCGGCTACATAGTTTTAGTTTTCTTACTTTAGGCATATAGTTCAAATGATTTCAAGTAGTTATGCACTGCTACCCACTCATAAAATTCTTCTCGCCACTCTTTGATATCTTGCGAGTCTTTACTTCTAATACTAGCTGTCACTCAAATACACGTGATGGACTAAATGCTTATTAATATTACCACAGAGACGGTGGGTGGAGCCAACGTTTTCGCAAGTTCCTCACAACGCCGTTGCCCCGATGAGGATTCGTCAACTTGCCGAAACAATTTCCAGCAACGTTCTTTCTCGAAAAACTACTGATCGCTTCAAGCCTCTCCATGCCTCTGAACTTCAGTCTCAATTGGTATCCAAGTTCTGTGTACGCCGGCATAACAAACGTGATTGGCTTAAATACGAGTTGTACTTGCAATTGTTGATAATTTTTCGCACTGGTAATAATATTCTGGGTTCAATGTTTTCCCATTATGCCCATTTATCAGTTGCAAGTTAAAGCTGGTTTTATAGATTGACACTTTCACACTACGTGTATGTGTTTTTTTAAACGAAACGTGTAATAAAAATGTTCATTTCATTTGTGCCGATTGAGTTTCGTCTTATACTCAGACATCAGTCAGCTTAACTTTCGCCTCTTCAGAACACACGAACAAAATTTGGGAAAAAATAGACATTTTAGGAATGGCTGCATCGCCTAAGCAGCCAGCGGGCTTGAGCACGAGCGTATTCCGCTAGCATGAAAAGTGGGGAAGGGGGGCTTTTGTGGCCACCATCCTTTCCATTTTGTATCCTTTCCCTCTATTTTGGGACGTCACCACTAATGCGCAAGAGAAACTTTTTGTTCGCGATTTATTTCTTGAGGATTCCCAGCAACCGTCAGTGATTAAAGCAGCGCTGCCGCTGTGTCTCAGCATGCGAGAGTGAATACATGAGAGGTATAAGAAGTTTCCGCGTCCTAACCAAAGCTCTCTGTGCCCTCCTTCCCATTTCCCCAGCACCATATCTGCTCGAGCGCACCCTCTACCTTTGGTCAGCTTCATTCACTGCCACAACCAATCACGCTCCTGCTCTCTTTTCTCCCCAGCACCTGCTTTGCGCCTGCCACAGCTTTGCCTTTCTGCTCCACATCGCTTCACCCTCTTTACGTCGCTACGCTTTCTCCACCAGGCTTACCTCTCTGCCTAGGCTTCCCTCTTACCCACATAGCTGCACCAATACTCCCCCTCTCGCCATGCTTCACTCACACAGCTCAGCTAGAAAGTGCGAGAACAACAAATCCCCAGGGATTTATTTACGTCAACTTGAAACTCCTCTACGCTCGAACCTCATTCATAACTAAGTTGCATCTTACACACACAAAAAGTTTGTTATAACAAAAAATTCGTACTAAAGGTATATTTCTAACACTGTATCTATTGCAAGACTATTCTTCATTTGCTTCGTTATATCCAGGTTTGTTATATCGGGGTTTGAGTGTACTATTAAAATTTCATGGGCCAGAAGCAAGCAGTGAGTGGCTACCAATAGTACACTTTTATTTTTTAATAAGTAGACTGCAAGCACACACAATAGATACAAAACGGAAAACACACCCTGCCTTGACACAGTCAGCGGGTGCACACTTGCACCATAGTACTGCCTCTGGGCGACCTCCCACTCAATGTTACATAACCAAGGCCGTTTAATTCAAGTGTCCCTTATTTCATGTACAAGTGCTCCTCACAATAGATTACCAACTTGCCCAACACCTCGTTCTTTTAAAACGAATGGGGAGAAAGCCACCACGATGATTAAAAATGTAGTATTTCGATCAATGCACAATGCAGGCAACTATAATATCAACATGTGACATGCTGTCTAAGGTTAGGAGAGACTTACCACAGAGTGGGGGAGGTGAACTGACAGGTGTGGAAGACGTTGATGAAAAACTGCTTGCTTGGTGTTCGGCTGAATACATCTGCTAAAAGCCAGACACAAAAGGAAAACAATGATACGTGTAAGGATCGCGTCCAGCCACAAAAGAGGGACGGCATGAGCGTGCAACCAACTCAGCAACGAGGGGCCCTTCAACACTTTTTTTTCCCAACTGATCATCAAATGACGTAATTAAGTAAATTAATCAGTTCCCAGATCGGCTACCTCAGAAATTTCTGTAAGCCACCAAGTAGGGGCGGAGTTGCCAGGCACTACACGCACCTGTGTCTCTCCTGCTCTTTTGAATGTGTGAGCATGTTGAAAGCAACACAAGAAGGGGCACAACAGGGGGACAAGACGCAATATGACCTTAAATAAAGCTGGCATGCCTGCGTGTGTGAGTTGGTGAGAATTGTGGCGTTCTTCTCTGGCTTGTAAGTAGACGTTAAACTGGCATTGGTAGTTCATTCTTACATCGCTTAGTGTGTACCAAAACGTCGTTCCAGACCAACAAGATTTGACAGTACGTGAAGTTTGAGTGCACTACTAGTACAAGCGATCCCGAATATATCAGACTCGGATTTATCAAATTAATGGCTACATAGAATAGTTCAGAAGTCCCCTTGAATTTCCCTTCTAAACGTACGAGACCAGGGCATCTGTATGTCGAACTCCGGCACAGTGGGTCATCCGCTACTACTATATCGAACGATCTGCTCTGTCGAAGCCCAGAAAGTGCATTTTTTCGAGAAAATATTGATCAGTTTTCGGCCCTGTTCTAACCCCCAAATGCAGAGATGTTACTTGGCCGCGTCTTCGACTTGACTTGAGCAAGTCGGCGCGAAGCAAGCAGCGGACTTGAAAACGCTCAAGTCGGCCTTCGCGTTTCATAGATGCTCAGGCTGTCTTGCTTGGTCAAGTCAAGAACGTGCTTCAATACAGAAACACGTTGCTCGCCTGGTAACAAGGCTAATAATGAAGTTGTTCGCGTAAGGCATGCATTACACCAAAAAAAAGACCATACGTTTTAAAATAACTATAAAAACGAAGGGCCACAAGCATATTGTGGCCCCACAAGCATATTGTGGCCTTTCCAGGCCACAAGCATATTGTGGCCTGGAAAGTGTCGATCTGAAATCATTTCTCCGTGCGTTACCTGCTCCATCTTTCTGATAGCTACACTCCCATTTCCTTTACAGTGCCTTTGTTCTTGTGCCCATTTTAGACAAAATATTTGCCTTACAATTTGCCACGCTTGTAACTAACATGCCCGGATGTACTTTTTGAATTGTTGCTGACTATTCTTGTACTTGAACTTTTTTTTTTTTTTTTTTTTTTTTTTTTTTTTCACACAGCAAAACCTGCTGAGCACTACTTTCGTGCAGTTTTCAGTATAGCCTTGTATGGCACGGCAATTGTGGACTGCATTTCCAGTTTCCTTTCTATGTGAATCAACGCGTTCCTTTTTTTTGTACCACTGTATAATCTGTTCAATATTTTTTTTGTACTTCCTGCATTTGTGTTCATTGTACCGCCCACCCCTGCCCAAAGTCTGGCATTCAGACTGGCAGTATTCTTCTAAATAAATAAATAAATAAATATTCTTGCCATTTTACGGCTAACAAGCGGCACGTGGTGCCTGCCACCACAGCGATGCGCAGTGTTGCTTCTGTAAAGCGTTCGTTGCCAGCTGGTTTTAGTGGCCACCCAAATGCGGTGCGTTTCTCCACGGTTGCTTGTTTGAAGGCGAAACAAGCATCGCGTTGGGTTCTTTCATCGTTTTTTTTTTTCTCAATCGAACACCATGGCATGTATTTGTGCTGACCTGGCTCACGAGGTGACGCAATTTCCACGGTATTTGCCTTTGTGTTCGCCTGTGTGCATGCCTGTAATGGGCTAGGTCGCAGTTATTATGAAAAAAAAAACAAGTTCTGGGAACAAATGTGATTCGTATCCTTTTGTTGAGCTTGGTAAACAAGAGAAAAAGCGGGGGTCAGGACATTGCCCTCAGCAGAATTCTGTCTCGCGGGGTGCAGCAGTGCATCGCTGCATCATGGTGACGCGGATAAAAAAAAACCTGTGATAGGGGCACCTCTTTTTTTATGTGTGTGTAATTTTACGTAGCGTTGTGCTACAAGCGATGCCTTTCTGAGCGAGAAACAGTGCCCTAGACGGGACGAAAGGATAGACGAGGCACACGGACACAGCACAGAGTCATTTTTTTTTTTTTTACCGAAAGATACGGAAAATGTCGTCGTGTTATAGAAAAACAGAAATAGCCTTTGCGGTTACGAAACACTTCGGCGTTGTCGACACCGGGGCTATTAATACGCACGTGTGTGTAGTCGACACAACCTGTAACGCAAGGGAACTCAGCCACTTCATAACTGTCCGCCGGCTGCGGAAAGCGCACCAGCATCGCGTTACAGGTGCTTTGCGATGAGTAGCGCAACTTTTCCGACTGCACGGCACACTGTCGACTACGGAATGCGGACGAAATTTCCGGTGACTGGTTGGAATGTGCCACCGCTGTAAAACCTGAGAGCCATCAGTAGCTGTAACACTGGATGCACGGGCTGTCTTCGGTTGTCCCCACTTTCACGGAGCGGCAACATAACGAGCAGCTGCCCCACGGCGTTCTTCATGAATCTGTACCTAGCGTGGAATTGTTGCTCGTCGTACAACTCCATCGGGTTTCCTTGGTCACGTAAAGCGGTTCCAAGAATCTTCGGCAGGCAGTGCGCCTCAAAAAATGCTACGCTTATGGCGAGGCAAGCAAACTCAAAAGCGGCCACCTTTCACGCGACGTCCATTCGTGAGGTGGCCATGTTGGAATAACGCGTGAAGTCGCTTTCAAGCTAGCCCCGCAGCTGACTTGAAACTTGTCCTGACTTCGACCGAGCCAAGTCGCCTTCAAGTCATCCGCAAGTTCGAGAACGATTTATGGCGACCGGCAAGACTGTCTTGAGTCAAGAACGAGTCAAGTACGAGTCAAGTAACATCTCTGCATTCGGGGGTAAGAAGCTGCAATCCCTGCGTAAACGCAGGTGACGAAAAGGTGGTGTTATTCTATCGCACTGATATGGTTCGTTGCGCGGCACTTGCGAGCGCACCTGTATGCTTGATGCGCGATCTGCAGGTATTAATGCATTGGCGTAGTGTCTTTCGAGAAGACCAATATTAGAGGACACCAAAATGAGAAAGCAACGTGATTTGGTAATCTTGTTGCAATCTTTGCATTCTCTTTCTTATTTGTAAGCGTGCTATGGCATGCGAGCCTTAAAAGCATGACCTTCAAGATGTACAACTCCGCGACATATTTTTGGTGATGCCAGTTTTAAAATGCATCTCTCAGAGGCTACGCTTTTTCTAGTTTTTCGGATCAAAGCTGGTGAAAGCAGCAGCTGCCAGCTATGAAGCCACACGTGACATCGATATCGCCAACATGTTGACGATAGGAACTCAGCGTTGTCTGTTGCGCCTTATGGGCTTGTCTACTCGCCTCGCTCCTAATAGGTCTGCATTTGAAAGTTGAACTGAACGTTAACCCGCACATAGCGATAATATTTGACTGGCGTTTAGAGCGACATAGAGGGACGTCAAGTGAAGCATCATCGTCAACTTTCCTAGCAAACCAGGTGACGACTTCGGGTGTGTCATGACTACTGACAACGTACGGTGCCTCAATGAATTCCGCGGCTTATGAGCATTTACAAGCACTATTTCGGACAGCAAGTGGCTTCATCAATGCAAAGATCATGTCTGCCGTTGAAGAGGAAGTGTACCCATGTGGTTATCAATGTGCCAGAGTGTTCTCTGCTGCCACTAACCAAGCTTGAGCCACGCTACAAAGCTTGCATCGGCGTTCTGCATCAATCAACACTGTTGCGGTCGAAGGAGCTTAATTCGACTATTTGAAAAGCTTCAATGATAATGAGGATGACTGGAACTTGACGGCTTGCAAGAAGCACGACAAGTTTATGGACAACTACAGTAGACTCACAGTAAAAAGGAACCCGGAGAGACTGGGAAAGTAAACTCGATTTAACAGGAGTTCCGCTTACCGAGAGATGACCAGCGGTGCAGAACACAGGCACGAATCCAATTTGGCCAGAGGCAGCTATTTCGTTTAACAGATTTCCATTTACTGGTAGTGATTTCATGTTAAATAAAGCGCAGCAACTTGCAGTTCACACCTTGATCTTTATTATACTGTGAGTGAATCATTATGTTGGCATTTGTAACGAATTCCGAGGCCCTAATATAGATATTTTTGTATTTTGAATTATCGATATATTGAACTATGTCACAATCTCTTTGGAGCTCAATACTACTACCTATGTACCACTACTACGACGACAACAGAAATTGAACCTTGGATGACTTGGTTGTAAAACACTGCATATAGCAAAAAACGCGAAGAGAAGGGTGACTGACCGAGGCGATCGCTTTGACCAGGGTGTCGCTCGCCTGCGAAGAGGCTGACGGAGGGTGTGTGGAGGAGTTCGCCGAGGCCGCGGCACCTGCCGTCCGAGACGAAAGGGCGTCGGGTGCCGTAGGCACCGGGGAAGAGCCCTGATTGGTGCTGCCGGCAGAGGTGCCGCTGGCGCCGGCAGCTGCCGCAGGAGTCGGTACTGACACAGGCACCACGGTGCCAGTGTTTGTGCTGCCTGCAGTGACGGCAGCCGTGCTACCACTGCCACTGCTGCCATTGTTCTGTTGCGAGGAGTAGAGCGGGGAGGCACCGGCCCCGCGGAAGCTCGACATGGGGGGCAGGGTGGTGGAGGACATTAGGCCTGCGGGTTCCTGGCCTGGAGACACAGTACCATACGCCTGCATGGAAGAAGGCACACCGTCAAAACGAACGTAACGTGCACGGTGAACCTTTAGAACAACCACCGCTGCTGTAGTCAACGAGGCTACAAGCAGTGTAGCTTTTCATTTAATGACACTTCGACGCAACGTCAGGGGACACAACACAAGAATGCACTGGCAGCAAACTGCAAATGCACATACGTATACACAGGCTATTTCGTTCCATGCAACATGTCCAGAAAGGACATTTCAGAAGGTGGCAGCAATAAAAGCATGACTTTGGTCAATGTGCTCCTGCACCAAATATATAACCCTGCAGCATTATCAAGAGTTTTGTTTTGAATGCTGTATGAGGTGTGATGTCTTGCTTTTCAAGCTCATGTAAACAGAAATGAGAATGTGGAACTAGCTAATACAGAGCGACACACTTTTAACAATGTTTGCCACAGTCGCAGTACTGTCAGTTTCATTACCCCCTATGCCTACTAATACAGCGAAACGTCAGTAAAGAGAAAGCATTACTTGTAACACTCTCTGTTTTAAAAGATGGAGAAACCAACCAAGCCATTGTCAAACGTCTCTCATAGCAGTGTTGTGACAGACATTTGACAATGGCTTGGTTAGGTTTCCCCATCTTTTCCCACTTTAACAACATTGCATACAAGAGACACAGGTTACAAGAGACACCAAGTTACTAGGAATAACTTTCCTGGGTCCACACAAACAATTCTCGAATATTTAAAAGAGACACAAATTACACATGCCCACGCAATGCTTATCCACAGTCGGATGCCACTTCTGACGTGGTGGCGACTGCAAAGTGCACAGTACTTTCTTCCATTATGCTTTTATAATCGCTGTTCTGCTACACTACCACACTGACTTTACAGTAAAAAATACACAGCATTGAAAACCGAGAAGAGACGAAAAAATAGAGTGGACCCCAAGAGCACAGATTTGAAACTGAAATTTAAAACAAAAAAATGAGGCGGCTAACACTGACTACTAGGCAAAGCCAGAAGCCAGTAGTGAGTAGGCAGTGTGTGCAGTGCTGGCAGTCTTGCATGCCAGTGGTATAGTAGTTGGTCTCCCTAGTCACCTCCATGTTTCCACGACAAAGCTGTCCTTGAATTGCCGACAGTGCCACTGACCCTGTTACCTTCCCATGAATCTTTGCTACGTTAAAGTATATCAAAAAGTGATGGAGGCATGCCCTTCAGTGTCTGCAAAATTTTCAGTTACAAGAGACCTTCAATACATGCCTCCCAGCTCCCTGGAGTATCTCTTGTAACGCGACTTTACCATACCACTACTGGCGCTGTTGCATAAACCAACATACATGAGCTCGAAGATCTGGGAACAAAAAAGAAAAGAAAAAGCCAGACAGCTGCCACCCACCATTGATTCGGGAGGGAGGTGCATGGAGGAGAAGGCAGACGATGTGGAGGGCAGGTGAGAGGTCTGGTTCCCCAGGTAAGAGTATGAAGGCTGCAGGTTTTGGGTTGAGGGCCAAGGGTCTCCTGCTCCTCCATGGCTCCCGTCTGCACAGCATCATTCCGAGCCATTACAAGCACAATTACACCACTATGCAACACTTTTTAAAGTGGATGTTCTTCAACTCTAAACTGGTCATTTCAGGACTCGGCTGAAAGATCCGGCTGGTACATCTTTTGAGAGACAAAGCTTTCATCACTTTAGTGCTGAAATTGACCTTCACCAATAAATTCAAACTTGGCTGGTCGTCATACACCCGCCTGATCACCACTGTAGTAGCGATCATGGCTGCTATCAGCCAATTTTCCAAAAAGGAACGCGTTCAACGCATGCCACCCCTTTGTTAAAATTACCAGTTTTCGATGTGTTGCAGTTTTCGAAATTATGACATGAAAAAGGCATTCCAGAGACTGTCATCACAGAGATTACTAGGTTAAAATGACGAGAATTTGTAGTTAAAAAGTTCAATAACAGGGAGTTGGTGCTGGAGCCAACGTTTTGACTAGCGAACTTGTCTTTTCGGGGCTGCAAAGTTGCAACCTTGAACAGACAAGTCCGCTTAAGCACTCCCAGCCCGCCCTCCACCTCGTTTCCGAATTTCTTATTGCATGCTTCCAGCTTCCTTTTTGCCTTTCTAGAGCATTTGTACTTGCAGCTTTCGCAGAACCTGCACTCCTATTACAGAGATAGTTGCTCTTTGAAAGTGACGACTGCAGATATATCCATTTTTTCTTTAGTCCTTTATTGAAAAACTTACCCTTGCAGAATTACCCTAGCACAGTATCAATTAATTTCTCAATAAAATTTGCAACATGATAGGCAACACAAAGACATACAGTTACTGACCAAAAAAATTTAAGGAATGATGTTCATTTCCCTTTTTTTTTCATTACTGTATTAAGCTTAAGAAAGGTTTCACAAACGCACTTAGAATATGCGCTAAAGCATGATGCAAAGTCACGTTGAAAAGTACTGCGAAGGCTCCCTAGCATTACATTTTATGCATTGGATGCTTAGTCGAGCAACAAGTAAAAAAAAAAAATGCTTACCAATGAAATAGGCCTCCCCATAAAGGCCCGGTGCTGCCTTCGGAGAGGAATATCGCGGTGAGGTTTGTTCGAAACCATCCGAATGGTAAGGCTGCCAAAAAAAAAAAAAGTGAAATGACGTTACACAGGTGCAAGGAATAAACAAACATGAAAGTGGCTCTACGAGAACATTGTAAATGCAAGTCACAAGAAGTATTGGAAGAAAGTGCACAAAAAACACGTTCTGTTTTGCCTCATGCGGCACAGTGGTTACAGCATCTGGAAGCGTAGAGTTCAAAAGTCGCTGCAACTAGACCGTGGGCATATTTTGCTAATAGCTAGCACAGATGTGCACTTCTTTGTGTTGCTCTGCAAGCTTGGGGCCCAACTTTGGTTTTGCTTACTCGCTCGCTGAGATCGTTAACACATTTACAAAATTAAACACATGGAAATGTGAATGAAAGAAAGATTTAGATCGTTTATTGTACATTTTGGTGTCATATTGAGAGCATATTTCGCTTGGAGAACTAAGCAACGCGCTTGCGGCTGCACACCGACCCACTACGTCATGGAGGCCAAGTTGGAAAAGCACGCTGGAAAAGTGGTGCTGTATAAGAAATCGAAATAAAAAGGAAGGCCAGTCTTGCAAAGCAAATGATAACTGTATTTTAGGAATAACTTCCTGCAACTGTTTGAGTATCATAATAACAAAAAAGAAAAACAGCCCTTATTTCAGCAAGGAAAAATGAGAAAATTATCAGTAAACTTAATCGAGCGTTGACACAAAATATTTTTGCATTTTTTTTAAGAGCAGTAGGTAATCTTTGACCCATTATCAGGGTTGGAAACCATGTTCATGTGAGAGCACGACAGATTATCTATTTAGGGGTGTGTTTAGAGCACCCGGTGGCAATTTTGCTTTGAAAAAGCACCGGGCCAGGCAGGAGCAGTTCTGGTAGTTTGGTAAATGCAGCTGGCCACATGAACCAGGCAAAACCATGCAAGACTGTCACGTAGGTGCTGCATGCGACGGAGTGTGCCACACCGACAGCCAGCCCAGCCAACACATGCGAAGCCACAAACACAGTGGACATAGCGGCAGCGCAAGCGCAATGCGTGCGCCAGCAGCTAGCAGACACAAATTCGCGACGCGAGTTTGTTAATGTTACGGTCACATCGATGTCGGGATCACGAGTGGCTCTGCACTCCGCTAAGCCACACGACATGCGCTTTAAAATCAATTTAAATCTATTCTACGCTATATTCGCCCTTGATGCTTCGTATATGTTGTGTGTATCCCCACAAGAATATATCTCGCTCATTATCTCGCCTTTGAAATTTCGTGTCCATGCTCTTTGAAGTGATAGTTTTAGGTGTGGCAACAGGCGTGCACTTGGGTTCTGTAGCTTCCACAGTGCTGTTGTCGCCGAGTGTACCCCACCTCAAGGTGCGCGGCTGCACGGTCATGTCACTTTTTGTACAACCCACTGGATTTTCATTCAGGGTTGTGTTTACGCAAAAACAGGAGTGGATACAAGCTTTTTCAGTTAAAGAAAAAAAAAAATGATGTGAAATGGGGGCTTTTGGGAGGATTTGAAAGGTCCTCTTCTTTGACGTTGTACCTTCAGAAATTGGCGGAAAGCGTCAGTATCAGAACATGCAAAGCCTCCCTCCCCCTTTCCCCGGCTGCGCCGTTGCAAAAAAGAAATGGAAGGCCTTTTGCCTGCGCAGAAGGACAGAAAGCGAGCGGGATATCCTCGGCCGCCTAAAGACGGCGAGCCACGAGGCTGGGGGATCGGTCTCGTCCGCTCTGCAGGAGCGCGGGCAAATCGCTTGGGAAAATATACACGGGATCGGCGCGACGCTGCCGAAGCGTGGAGGGGGCAAATACGGTGTTCAAGCACCCCGGGGCGCGTTTGTATATAAACGCAGGGCGCGCGCGCACCTATGGCGCGCGTGCATCGGCGACAGTGGGCGCCCTTTTATACGACGCCCCCGCCCCATTCTCGCGAGATTTACGTGCACGTGCGAGAGGAGACGACCTTACCTAAGCAGTATGTCCGAGTGGGGAACCTCTGCTACGAAGAAAGAAAGAACCGGGCGTCGCAAACATGGATGGCTTCGCTGCAAGCACACCGGCGAATCCAAACGAACCTCGGTGAACCACAAACGTTTATGGGAGATTGGCACGCACCGAACTTTTTTTTTTTTTTTTGCCGGTGGGTCCGAAATGCCTAGGCGCGTTGATAACTAATCTACCCCTTCTCTGGAGTAATGGTGGTGGTGAAGGGGTCGTGAACTGATTGCGCATTAAAGGTGGCGCAAAAAATACACAACTGTCACTGATATATTCAAGTCTGGAAGTTGAACTGCATAAGGTTCACTTGCCGATAGATGGGATGGGGTAGAGGGCAACCTCACGGGAGAACAAGGGCTCCCTCTCCTTCCCCGCCTGAACTGACAGCCCTACTCTTCATTGAAAGGTCTCAGCCGCCACAAACCGAGCGACGAACAGACGGCAAGGAACGAAGATGAGATGAACGAGGAATACCAAAACGTCTTAACAAAACCGGTAACGGTATCAAAAAACATATCATGCCTGGCTGGACTGGTAACCTAACACATGCTCTGCTGTAAGGTTGTTGCACAAGCAGGTAGGGGAAAAATAAAATAAAAAATCTGACACAGAGCACAGCAAACGATATTCAGAAGGAAGCGGTTTCTTCACTCAGAATAAGCATTCATATCTACAAAGGCGTCTTCGAACCGAATAAAATTTAGTGCGAACCTCTCTCAACGTCCACGCGAAAACAGAAAAAAAAAAAGACGCGCATTTCATATCCCGTACCGCCCAACCCCGTTTTCAAAAACTAAATTCAGCGCGGCAACCAAGCCTTCACAGCGACGCAGCATCACCCAATGTGTGCATCTCTTAGCTGCGCTGGTGCACAGAAGGGCCGCGCACGACTCCGTATAGAGCGGCGGACGCTCTCTGCGAATCCAGCAGCCGATGCGGTGCCGCGTGCGAGATAGTTCGCGTGAAAAGAAAAAGAAGACGACACAGCGAAACGCCATTGAGACAGTTAGACATGGAGGAAGAAAATACTTCCTCCGTGCATTCCTTCACCCATGAAGTCAGACACAAACAAAAATGAAAAGGAACGAGAACAAGAAAAAAACAGTTACACAGACCACGATGATGATACTATAGGAAAAAAAATGGGGGGGGGGGGGGGGAATCTTTCTTACACCCTCGCAAACTTTATCTCTATCTAGGCGCACTTAACAAAATAACGAAGTCAGAAGAACCCGATAGGCAGAGACAATCATACGAAAGAAAAAAAAAAAAAAAACGATACGGAGTTGCGGGCCGCGCGCGACAAATCCGGATGCGAGCAACGAAGCAGAACCGAAACGCAACAATGAAGACTACACAAGGCTGCGGGTGCAGCAACAAACAGGGTGGGGGGGGGGGGGGGAGGGAGAAGAACGTTGAGCGAAACGAAACTAGAGTAAAAAGGGAGCGCGGAAATAAAACCCAGAACGAACCAACAACATCATCGCAAAGATAGAATGAAACAAACTTCTTGAGGGTACGATGTGCGAAGAACTAAAGGAAAATAAAGGAGTAATAATATAAAGTCCGTCGAGATGGAGACGACGAGGCGGCGAAAAGCGAAGTGCGAGCAAGCGACGGCGACGACGACTGGGCACGAAAACGACAGCGATGATGAGCCCCGGAGTTCCGCTCCCCCCGGGGAAGGGTAACAAACAAACGAGGTCTGCTGTTGTTGCCTGCCTGCGATCCGGCTATCGGCAAGCACAAGGACAAGGAGGACACAAAGAAAGAAAGAAAGAAGAAAGAAAGAAAGAAAGAAAGAAAGAAAGAAAGAAAGAAAGAAAGAAAGAAAGAAAGAAACGAGGAGCAGCGCCGCGACTCGGGCTTCGCCAATTCATTGGGGATACTGCTCGCGGGGAGAAAATGACGTCGATCCAGGAGAGAGCGATTCAATCCGGGACACTTCCAGGGATGGTGATGGTGGTGGTAATGATACTCTGGCAAACGACGGCGAAGGAGAAAGAGGATGGAACAGCGTGGCTCGCTCGGCACGCTTCGAATCATAACGTCACGTTCCGCCGCTGAGGTCGTTTACGGTTGCGTTGCCACGGCTGCACAATAGCGGCACTACACAAAGTAGTTAGCAGCGAGAGTCAGATTATATAGAATAGCCTAAAATCGCACAACTACGTTTCGGCGAGTAAAGTTTGATCCAGTACTGAGAATAATGCTTCGTCCCTAGTTTCCTCTAGCCATTTATTTTCGCACCTTCCCCCCTTCTTTAATTTGATTGATATGTGGGGTTTAACGTCCCAAAACCACCATATGATTATGAGCGACGCCGTAGTGGAGGGCTCCGGAAATTTCGACCACCTGGGGTTCTTTACCCCTTCTTTAATTTCATTTAGGCGGCGCGTCAACGCTGCCTATCTTGGTGGTAACCTAACAACACAGTCTTCTTTCGTGTGACAAACCACGTCGCACAGTCACCTGTAACAGAAAGGAATTCGCACAGACCAGTCTCTAGAAAGTACAGACCACTATAATTTCGCCGGGAGACGAGCCCGCGACCATACGCTCCCACAAGGTCACAAAGGACAACGGCGACGGAAACTTATAAGCGGACAAGTTGCACCAATGGCACGCGAAAAATCGAAAAAAAAAGGTCGAAAGAGAGCACTGAATTTCCTTCTGTCTCTCTCTCTCTCTCGAAGAATCAGCAAGGAAAAAAAAATCCTGCTGTCTGCAGACCGTTAGATAAAAAACGGGCGGCAAAACAAAGTAGCCAGCGCGCCTTCCGAAAAACGCAGTGCATGCCTGCCTACACAGCAAACGTACGTTATCGAAAAAGAAGTTAAAAAAAAAACTAAACAACGAAGGAACGGAAGCATTCGCAAAGTTCACTCGGTGGCGGCTTGTTATGCGCCAGCCAGGGCTTTCTCGCCAGAGAAGGCCCGCTGGGAAGCTCGCCAAGAGAACGGATTCGATTTCCAATTCAGCGGGGCGGCGGAAAGGCGCGCAAAGTGCGCGGACACCTTTCCCCCTCTCTCTCT